GAGGCACCGATTTTGGGAATGGTATCAAAACATTTCTGCAACGCTAAAGGTCCCAATGAGCACAGTGGCCTCTATTTTTCGTAAATGGAAGAAGTTTGGAAGTTTCATATAGGGCATTAATGTTAGAAAATATGCAACAAGTGAAACGCTGTTGTTACAGCCTGGCTCCAAATCTGCAACGTAAATATGGAGACTAACACATTTTACAAAGATTAGGTTTTATTTTAAATTATATAATATGTTAGCTAACATAGTTGGTTCCACTTAGACAAAGACTGAACGCTCTTGCACTGCCACTGCAAAGAGAATAGGGATGCAGAGGGTGTAAGGCTGATAATGCTTTCTGGATGCACTGCATCCCAAAAAGAACGCAGTTCTTAAGTTAAAGGGGGGTCCAGCCCAGTACTAGGATGATGCAACTAATGAAACAGGCAGGGAATGTATGGTGAGTGAATTTGTATAATTACTACTATTTGGGATAATATCAATGGAAGATTCAAAAAGAATTGCTGTCATGCAGTGTACATCTGGACAGATGTATCCACGAGAAGCACTGCCTGACAAATGTTGCTCATTTGTTTTATGAACACATTTTCATGCTATATTTGGAACTAGAAAGCTAAAAAAAGAAATATCTAAGATAAAGCGTTTAGACACAGATACAAATGACATATTCATCTATAAGATCAGATATAACATGAGTGTCTTTTCTCTTAATGTGAACTTTAATAGAAATAAAAACGTTGGCAATAGTATTTTGATTGTGTTTCTGACAAATGTGTGGTGTCGGACAGTGTGTGGGAGCTGTTTCACACTTATAGTCTTGTTATGGTAACAGACTGGCAGAGAGGGCTGATGCCAAGAATAGAGTAGCACAGTCTGGCACACAATCACACTGCAAACAGAATATGAAATTAAATATTTTCTCGTTGTTGTCTTCCAGCTCATGTGAACACCTTCTCGGTTTTTTCATCCCTCTGCTTCTCTCGTCTCTCTCTGAACCCCTCCGTCATCGCTGACTCACCTCATCTCTCATCTCTGCCCTATGTTTTTATTTGTTCCACTCCAGTGAGCCTTTACTTGCACAAAACACAAATTCAAAAGGCAATGAAACCAGGTAACCAAACAGTACATGTTTGGCATTGAGACAGAGTGCAGGAGTGACATCGACAAATGACCCACTGACAGAAGTGATCTATAGGTTTTCATATAACATTTTTTGTTTTTGTTATTTATGGCAAAGGCTCCTTCAGCTCTTTTTATTAGTATTACCTAGAGGGGCTCCTCAAGTCACTAATCTGATCTATATTTTTTTGTTGGTTTTGTTTCTTTGGAAAGTCAAAAAACGGTAGAGAAATGACACTTGGTGGTCATCTGTAATTCAGTGTTTATGGCATGGCATTTAATAAGTTGTATTTGTATAGGGTCAAATCACAATAACAGTTGCCTCAGGGAGCTGGACTGCTAATCTGGGCATTTCCCAGTGGGTCAATGTGCTTGTAGGTCAATGGGTCAATATAATTCTTATTTTATGCTTTGCCGATTATACAGGCCCGCTTGAAGTGCCGCTGCGCACTGGGCCTACCCGCACAGACAGCAGCCCATTGGTTCATGTTTTTTTACTGGCGCTGGATTGTCCAATCAAAACTTTTAATGCAATTTGCCTCACTTAACTATGGTAGCCCGTTTCCGCCACACAAAAAAGTATCCCTAACTCGAAATTTCGACTTATTAACTCAAAATTTTGAGAAAAGTAACTCGAATTTTGAGTTAGCTCTGCCAATCAGTCATCTACATGAATGATGTCACTTCCTTGTTACCCAGAAACTGGAGCCCTCAGCTACAAATGCTACAGCTAAGCTACCAGTATTACAGCCAGTCATGAATGCACAAATGTTCAGCGTGGCTTCACAAATGATGAAATCCCTGTGTTATTAGCTGAATCACATGGCGTTACTCTCAGCAAACGTACTCTCGAAAGCCCCAATTTGTTGCGATCCGGTTTTGAGTGTCCATTCCTCTGCGCCGTATCCTTCTGGGTAACAAGAAAATGACATCATTCACATAGATTACTGATTGGCAGAGCTAACTCAAAATTTCGACTTATTAACTCGAAATTTCGAGTTAATACTTTATTTTGTGTGTGTGGCAGAAACTCTGCACCTTGTGGAGCAGAGCTTAGTGAGGAAGAAGCGGTTGATAAAGATGGACAAATAAAAGTGAAATGATGGAGCTGAAAAGCTGAGAGAGAATAACAAAGAAACTAGAAATAGATGCAGCCTAATGTCTTCAAATTAACCAGCACAGCCAACAGTAGTACCAGCAACAACTACTAACAAGCCCTTGCAATCACAGGAGGCTCCTGTTGCTAGAACTAGTCATGAAGAGGTTCACCAGATATTTTTTCTGGATGAGGTGTTGTTGGCCAGATACTTGAACAGAGTGAAACCACCTCTGTGTAATCCCTAAAACATGAGTGCAGTGCTCCAAAGCAGGAACATGGGCTCTGTGGGAGTCAGAATAGAGCATTATTCAGGGGTGAAGAAGAAAAGAAAAGAGAACAAAATGAATTTATATATATATGAAAATTTGGTTTACTGCACTTTAACCACTTTCAGTGCCTTGTTAGTTCTATATGAGTCTTTATGTCTCTCTGTGTCAGGGAACTGAAGCACAGGACCATGAAGGAACCCGATGAGCCAAAGTTTCAGCTGCAGGAGTACGTCGACAAAGAAATGAGGACCGCTGGCTG